ATTTTAATCTCTTTAATGGATGGGAAAAGACATTAATCTCTCCTCCTGTGCACTTTCTTTTATATGTGGGGTATGTTTCCATATCTTCTTTTTTATAATAAACGTGAACATTTTTGTTACTTAAATATTTGCCAGTAGCTTAACTAAAGAATATTTACAGTGCAATGATACTTAAAATTCAGGAACTAATAGACTTGCAAAGATAAATAGGAAATAAAATCCACGGCAGAATATGCATTCATTTTTGCAACCAGCCTCAGGAACGATAATGAAAAACCCAGGTCTGAGAACAGTACTGTACATGTCAAAGGGGAAAAAAATCAAGCTGCATAACAAGTTCAGTGGCAACACAGAAGGAAAGCTGAGGACTGCAAAAGCTCTGAATCATAAAATCAGACAGCCTTTGAACATTTGCAGCCACAGGAAGAAAACGGTTTTCAGCATGCAGATTATTTATGAAACAAAAACAAAGCAATTTCATAAGAATCTGATTAAAACCAGAAGAAAAGGACCCTGAAAAGAGTCTGGTAAGCCAAGAAATTAATAGAAAATAAATAGAAAATAAAATTGCAAAACACTCACTACTATTAATAATATTTATGTAAAATTCCATTGACAGATTATTGATTGTATTTATTTTTTAAAGATTTATTTTTATTTTTTTAATTTCCTGTAAATGTGTCACATTTTTATTATTTTTTACATTTTATTTTATTTTATATAATTCCTACATCATTTTTCATTTTTGCACAATGTATGCACTTTCATTTTGGTTATATTCCCCGTACAATTCATTTATGCATACAAGAACTGGGGTGTTTGCCAGAACTGCGAGGGGTAAGAGGATTCGCCAGAGACGGAGTGGGGAACAGAGCAGGCAGACTGATGGAATACACTGCTGAGGGGAGCAGCGGGCAAGACAGGAGAGGTCTGCTGCGCCATGTGGGTCAGCCTCCTGGCCAGGGATCTAACTCAAGCCATAGTGACTGATAATAGCTGGATGGCATTGAGACTTTAACCCCTGCACCACCAGGGAGGCCCTAGACCATTGGTTTTAAAGTGATGAGTTTAAGTTTTTATTCTAGTAAAACACAAAGAGAGTTTTAAGCAATTTAGAGACGCCATCCTGAAAAATGTCTCATTGCCACTTTCCTGGTAATGAGTCTTTAATTTCTTATATGTCAATTTTTCTACAAGAGTTTCTCCAGGTGAAATCCCTAAGTATAGGGCAGGGAATTCTGTAATATTTCCACCTTATAATGGAACAAATGAGAAAAAATTGGGACAAACAATTTCACAGTCACAAGAAACGTTTGTGTCCAAACTGAAACTGAAATGCAAGTCTTCTGATTCCTGCAGTGTTCTTCGTCCTCTTCTTAATAAATTTAGGCATTCTTTTATTCAGCTGATTATCTGTTGTGTGGCAAACACCGTGCTTAGTGTTAGAAAAAGGGCAAAAGACAATCTACCACATGAAACAGACAAGCAAACTCATTCTGAGCATGACAACTGTGCTATGATGAACACAAACATGTTGCCCAAGGGCTGTGACAGCGCAGGCACTGGGTTTGACCACATGGGAGGAACCCGTCCTTCAGGCTCAAGGAATTAGTGAAAGTTGCCCTCAAACTCAATCTGGGAAATGAAAGTCTGAGGAGAAGTTAGCTAGCCCAGGGGGGTGAGGGAAAGGTGAAAATAGAGCCAAGTGTTCCAGTCAGCACATTTTATTATTTTGAGTCATATGCTGCGTTTTTCCTCTCTTATTCATCTACAATGTGACCAGAAGTCATATTTTTCAAAGCAGTTTCCTACAAGCGTGCATCTGTAATCATCCTTCCCCATAGCACTCTGCAGTATTGTTACATCATTCTTTATGCTTTAATTATAAGCTAAATATTTGCATACAATTTCAAATCTTGCTATAAATTGTAAACAATGAAGAACAAACATAAAAAGAAAAGTGGCATCAACTAACTATGGTCCTGTGTCAATTCTCTGAGGGAATTTCATGATGGGAATCTAAAACAAAAATATTCAATAAACTTTCAATAGACTGGGGCCAGCAGAGACCAAAAAGCTTCAAGTCCCCCCTGTGGCAATGTTAGGAATATCTGACAGCCAATCCTTGTTCTCTTATATTGCTGGTATTTGGTGCCCATTCAAAAAGAAAAAAAAAAAAAAAAGGTCTACACTGGAAAACTTCGGGGATCACAAGGTAATCATTTACTGATCAGCATCTCAGGCCAACAACCCTCAGAATAAATGTGTCAAAGTGAGAATCCTGATGAAGAGTTTGAACCAGGGCTTCCCTGGTGGCACAAGGGATTAAGTCTCAGCACTATGAAGGTATTGGCAGCCACTACAGCCCAAGTCCAGTCCTAGCCAGGGAGCCAACCCACATGGCACAACAGTCCTCTCCTGACTCACCCGCTGCTCCCCTCAGCAGTGTATATCAGTCAGTCTGCCTGTTCTGTTCCCTGTTCTGTCTCTGGTAAATCCTCTCACCCCTGCATCTCTGGCCTGTATCCCAGCTCTTGTATGCATAAAATAAATGAAAAAAAAAATAGTTTGAACTAATGAGATATCTCAGAAGGGAGCATGAACTTAGATATCAAATATCAAATATTGATGCCACCACTAGCCTTGCCTAGCCCATGGCAAACATTGCCAGTTAATCATGATTCACTTCCCTGTTAAGTAATCTCAGGACCTCTTTCAGAAGAAAGCATGATCTATTTGCATACCCCAATGTATCATAAATGAATAAATATCCAGTAAATAAATAAAGATTCAATAAATGAATAGAAATCCAACAAATAAAACAAAATCCAAATAAAGTCCAATAAATAAGTAAATAAAACATAAATCCAATCAGTTAGCCAATACTAAATCTCAGAGATTTAATCTCAACTCCAACAAATTAACATATCAAACTTCATATTACCCCTTTTTAAATAGAATTGTATTTTTGTAGGTTCTCTAAGCAATTGTAATGCATATTAATTCTCTGAAACTCTAAGATCTTATCCAATTATAAGATTCAGTGATCATAACACTCTAATCAGAATCCAATTTGCTATTGCAAGACAGTAATTACAAAAGTATTCTGTACTATAACAGCCTCATTAAACTAAAATAAAGGCTCTGACTGGCACATTAACAGAAAAAACATTAATTTGAATGGATAAATTCTAGTAAATTTATGAAAATAATAATATCACATTAGAGGCACACATTCTGCACACTTCTTCCAACATGCATGTTGTGAAGTTCTCTGTAGTTTCACACTTGATACTAATGGATTACACACAGAGAGCTTAAGACTACATTTGACATAAAAATTATAGTGAATGTTATCAGATGAGAAAGAGCAGTAATAGGGTGCTAATTACATTTAAATAAAAGCAATTAAGATTCAGCAAAAAAAGTAGAATAAATGGAGTATAATGAAAACCCTTAAGGTAAAGATGTATGCATATATTTTCTTTTTCTTTTTTAAAGATTATTTATTTATTTATACAAGCACTGCGTACACACTGCTCCCCTCAGCAGTGTATTTCATCAGTCTGCCTGTTCTGCTCCCCGCTCTGTATCTGGTGAATCCTCTCCCCTTCCAGCATTTCTGTCTGTATGCAGTACTTGTATAAATAAATAAATAAATCTTAAAAAAAAAAATCTAGAAAGTGATTTGGTCCCATGTTTAGAAGCACTTGAGTGCCTTTTAAAAATCCTGATGCTCAGGCCAATTAAATCAAAAGCTCTGATCATGACACTGTAGGACACACTATATTTTAAAAGATTTCTAGGTGATCCTGGTGAGTAGCCAAGTTTGAGAACCACTGTTAAAGAAATTTAAAAAGCAGATGGATAACCCAAATGGTAGGATATTTTGTTACATTTTTTTCTGGTGTGTAATTTAAGGATATAAAAAATCTGAGAGTCATGGATGGAATATTCCTACTTCCATACATGTCAATTGTTCCTCTTTGGCATCAGTTTTCCTATTAAAACTACTCCCCATCCTCTCTCTCTCTCTCTCTCTCTCTCTCTCTTTAACATAAATCCATCTTCTCTTTAGTATTAGAACCATTCAATTTTATGAAATCTTAACTTGTCTGTGAGTGGGTTCAAGGACAGCATAGACTGAGACAATATATAGGGTTATCTGCATGCCTTTACCACTCACACACCTCTGCATCCATCCAAACACTATATTGCCTTCAGTAGTTTTCAAAAGTGGCCATATCTTTATCTCAGCCAAGATAAACACAAAAGCCAACAGAATGTTTAAAATATGCACACATCTGATCATGCCATATACATAGCTCTCTCCAGTGACTTCCTATTGATCTAGAACTAGTCCTGCCCTGCAGGACTATATCCTGACTACCCCCAGTCTAATCTCAGCTCATTCATCACAACATTACACAGTTACTTGCTCCCATACCTCTAATGCTCCTTAGCTCTCTCTTTACAATTAATTTGCTTGCTAAATTTACTGAATTCCCAAACTCAGCCAAACCAACACCTAAATTTATAATTCCTGATGAAGGAGGCCATTCTGCTCCCTCAGATCAGAGTAGGATTCATGTTATACCTCTTCTTGTCCTTATTACAGTTGTAAGCAATTTTATAAATGCACTCCCTCAGAATATTTTTTGTAGGACAGGAAACATGTTCTTCATTATTTTGTTTTTAGAACCTAGAATAGATCCTAGAATATTGATAGATGGATAGATAGATAGATAGATAGATATAGATAGATATATAGAATAGAACCTAGAATATTGATAATATAGAGAAAAATATTTTATAAATGGAGATATGAATAAATAGCATGGTATATTAGCAATAAAATGGTATGGTATAATAGAAATAGAATGGTAGATGTGGAATAAACTGAAAAGGTGATAAGCAGCTGCTTATAACTAGGCATCTAGGCACAAGCAACCCATGTAAAGCCTTCTTCCTTCTTTTTCAATATGTCTGTGTCTCTGCAGGTTGTGATTTGATCCCAGTACAGTATCTTCGCTGGGGCGACCCTGAGCCCATTGCTGCTGTGGTATTTGCCTGCCTGGGCCTGCTGGCAACCCTGTTTGTGACTGCAGTGTTCATCATTTACCGTGATACACCAGTAGTCAAGTCTTCCAGCAGGGAACTCTGTTACATTATCCTTGCTGGCATCTGCCTGGGCTACTTATGTACTTTCTGCCTCATTGCAAAACCCAAACAGATTTATTGCTACCTTCAGAGAATTGGCATTGGTCTCTCCCCAGCCATGAGTTACTCAGCCTTGGTAACCAAGACCAACCGTATTGCGAGGATCCTGGCTGGAAGCAAGAAAAAGATCTGCACAAAAAAGCCCCGCTTCATGAGTGCCTGTGCACAGCTAGTGATTGCTTTCATTCTCATATGTATCCAGTTGGGCATCATTGTTGCCCTCTTTATAATGGAGCCTCCTGATATAATGCATGACTACCCAAGCATTCGCGAAGTCTACCTGATCTGCAATACCACCAACCTGGGAGTTGTCACTCCTCTTGGATACAACGGATTGCTGATTTTGAGCTGTACCTTCTATGCTTTCAAGACCAGAAATGTTCCAGCTAACTTCAACGAGGCCAAGTATATCGCCTTCACAATGTACACCACCTGCATTATATGGCTGGCCTTTGTGCCAATATACTTTGGCAGCAACTACAAAATCATCACCATGTGTTTCTCCGTCAGCCTGAGTGCCACGGTGGCGCTAGGCTGCATGTTTGTGCCGAAGGTTTACATCATCCTGGCCAAGCCCGAGAGGAACGTTCGCAGCGCCTTCACCACGTCCACTGTTGTGCGCATGCATGTGGGGGATGGCAAGTCGTCCTCAGCAGCCAGCAGGTCCAGCAGCCTGGTCAACCTGTGGAAGAGGAGGGGCTCTTCTGGGGAAACCCTAAGGTAAAATTTGTGGGGCATTGTAGGGTGCAGGTCCCTAGAGCTGAAGCAGTGGCTATTAATCTAGTTCACTTGAACATTATTGAACAGAGTAGAAATGATAAGTTTGTTGTTATCATTCATGAAGATGATGGTGAGGGTGCCGAGAACCTTACAAAAGAGACAGCACTGACTATGCCTGTATCATTTTTCAGGCCCAGAGGAGGCTTTGAGAGAGACATGAGAATGTAGAATTTTTATTTTCATTTCTAAGTGGGAAAATTGAACTCCTTCAGAAATGCCTAAGTATCTGAAAGGGACAACCTAGCCCAATGCCTTTGTATATAATCTTTCTAACCAGTCAATTTCTCACTTTCTCTGTTGTCTATAGCTTCATCCTGCTCCTCACGTTCAGTATCACTGCTAGCAGTTATTGGAGAATTACCATTAAAAAGGAGTCTGAACTCAACAGTTATGATTTCTTCCTATGTGAGAGAATTTCTTCTATGATAAATGACCTTAAGGAACTTCCAATGGCAAAGAGATTATTCTATTAGTGGCTTGGGAACAAATTGGGAGTTCTTAAAAAGGTTACATAGTTACTGGGGACAGAATGAGGACATCATCTATTTTGGAAGCACGTTATCAAAAGGGTCCATTGTTACATCATCTCTGCTAACTCTTCAGAGATTTGACAATTTTCAAAAAATCTAAATAAATAAATAGAAAATAGATATTTTTCAAATAGTAGTTAAATAATATTGATTGAAAGGTTCGTTTACACTATCATTTAGTCTTGAAATCTAATCATTTTTATTTAACATGAAAAGTCCTACTTTTCTTTCAGTCCTTATCTGCAAAGCCTAATTATGATGAGGTAATGACAGTGTCTGTTGAAGACTGAAAATCATTCACAAGAAACCTGAAGCTTATCCACATGGCCTAATTCATTTGCATAATTGGCCTTTTTCATTTTTTTTTTCTGATTCACGTATGGCTCTTATCTTTTTCCATGTACATCGTGTAAAGTACTCAACTAAATTGCAAATCTCAGAGAAGAAACCTGTGCCTTTTACACCTGCAGTAAATCCTGGCAATGCTAGATCTATACACAGATCTTCCATGCATCTAACCTGTTGGCGCATTTTCCATCTGCCTTCCTAATTCCTCTCTAAGGCATTCTTTTCTCTGAAACATCTCAAAGAGCAGCCTTTCATTTTGTCTAAGAAAATTTATTTATTCAAACTCTTACTTTATCAGCCTGTTTTTCAACTCTTCAAATAAAATTATCCATGACATCTTGATAGGTAAGTAAACAGGTTGCTGGAAAGACAGAATTGTGAGTCTATGCCTAAGCACCCTGAAACCTCACCAGAGCAGGCTCCTTAGAGTGACGGCAAGGGGTGATGAAGAGGAGCTCTGACTGTAGCTAGGGATCCTGTGTCTGAGCGCTGACACTGACATTCTTCTCTTTGACACTTACTTTCCTTACCTCCCAAGTTTAGATCACATCATCTACCTCATAGGATCATAAACAGTGGAAGAAATAATATGTGTAAAGGCCAGGCACACACTAGACACCGTACTGAAGGTAGCAGCATGCAAGAGCTGCACAGCACTGGGAGTGAATGCTGGCAGCAGCGTTTAGCAGCTATGTGAACATAGGCAAATCCCTCAACCCGTCTATGCCTTGATTTCTATCTTGTGAATGGAGATAATGCATTACATACTCCACACAGTGGTTGTGAAACTAATGAGCTAATCAGGGACAGTGTATGCCATTTAGTAAGCCCTTCTTACATGTCTGCTGCTACTATCAACTAAGTTAACAGTTGTCAATTTTCTTCCACACCTGAAAGTCTGTATGAGGCATGCAACTAGCATGGTCATAATAACAAAGAGAATTATAAGCAACACTATATATTTACAGACATATTGGTTATACAAGGCTTTCCACAGCATCTCCATCTTTCCATTGTCCAATCCCTTATCACATTATAGAGTATACCTTTGGCCCCATGTTAAGGTGAGTAAACTCCCCTAGAGTGGAGGCCTGTCTGCTTGTTCATCACTGCCTCCAATGCCTGGAAGTACTGTATAAAATGTCTGGCACAAAAAAAGATACTCAATAATCATTTCTTGGTGTATTTGTTGATAATGGATTTGGGAAGACTATAGTGTGGTAGGTATTTTTGCTTGTCTTCACTACCCCCTAGTGGTTCTACTCATTTTTAAAAAAATAGGCCTGCAGTGATTTGAATTATAGATAGCCCTGGCACTATTGTGGTCATTAATTTTTGCCCAAGAATCAGGTCATTAATCCTATCCATTGAGTTCATGCTTTGCTATAATTCTGATGATCCTTTAGTAACATTGCATTGCTATTTTCAACACCATTGTTTCCACTTAATAAACGCAAAGGCAATATGAACAACAAAATACATTGATAATACTAATAGGAAACAAGGATTCTTAGGATTGGGGGGGGGTAATATTTTAACTTGTTTTCCCGATAGGATCATGCAGTTCTTGATGATTGCAGTTTGCAGCTAGTACATTTGAAAATTAGAATATCAAAGAGGGTAAGGAGGAATTATTGGGCTTTGCATATATAGTTTTGACAAATGCTGGCATGTCTGTATGTAATTGGCAAAGCTAGAATCTGCTTATATAGAGATTATTTTTTTTGCATTAACCAAATATAAAGGGTGGAACCTGAATTTGATATGCAGAAGAAAAATCAGAGAAAGCTCTAATGCTCTTATATCACATACACCCATACTTGTGTCTATGTTTAAGCTTTAATCCTAGGAAATACATTAGATCCAAACTAAAGTTATTTTTCTAGGTATTTCCCAAGTGCCCTTAAACTAAATATTTCTTCTCTGTGATCCAAATCAAAATACCAAAAACACTAAGACCATATTAATCACATTATAGGGTATATTATCTTTGGATTCATTTCCCCTTTTAAAATACATCTAGTGTGTCACATTGCCCCCACACATTGGGGGTGATATATGGGAAGCACTGAACTTGGATGCTTTTAATATGTTCACAGCTTATTCTGAATTACCTTCATTAGTTATGCTTGTCAGACTTGGATTCTGTAATATGCCAATGAGTTCCTCTATTGGAATCTATGGTACGCTTGAGTAGGAACTTAACTGTCTGGATATAGGTGTTTGGGGAGAAGCAGCTGTTATGCTGGACACACCTGGTTCTGTTCTCTTCTATCTAGTACTTGGAGAAGCAGGTGGCTGTGAGTCCAGACTGGTCTGGGTACTGTTCTGACAAGCCCCATGCATGGCCCTTTACACTTCCTGGCTGCCACTGTGAAGCGATACTAATTGCATACTTTACAGTGAAAATCAGAATAATATCCTCCAAGATTATAGAGGCTGTTCCCAAGAGTTGTGTGCTCTCCTCGAGTAGTTTGCTCTCTAAGCAGTAGTGCAAATAGAGTGTGCTACTTAATAGTTCTGATTTTGGAGCTACACTTAGACTCAAATCCAGCTGTGTGAATTTGAACTTGATACTTCAGTCTGTTTCTTTGACTGTGAAATGGTAGATAATCATTCCTGTTTTGAAGGTGGATGAAGTGATATGTGCCAAATGCCTATTATCAACACACAGAAAGTACTCAATAAATGGTAGATAAACCTTTCAGAAATGTGTTTGCAAGTAAGAGAAAGTCTGAATTTTGGAAGCTCATAGGATTTGATGTGTTTCATCCTTCTCATGTTACAAGAAAAATGCAGACATACTGCTGGTTTCTGGTATTCCTCCAAGGCTCATTAATCCAGAATTAAAGTATCTTTTATTTTCTAGGCCTTCTAGTTATGATTGTATAATACCTGCCATGGCCCCACAAATGCATTTTTTACTGAAGTCCCAAAGTTCCATAAGAATTTCTTTATGTCTCATTGGCCAAAACTATCTCATATAGCTATCCCCTAGCTGTGAGAGTATAAGAAGGTGTGCATGGAGCTGTTACATCTTACCTCCTCTTTTTATATTACATCTTACCTCCTCTTTATATATTTTGTGTGTATATATATATATATACACATATTTGAGGCCAGGTTTAGGAAAAGGAGAAATATAAAAGAGACACCTGCATAGACACAGGGAGGCAGAGAGCTCACATTTTTCTTTTATAGAAACTGAAAGAGAGAAGGGGATGCCAAGTGTTTGTTGGATAAACAATGGATAGTACCCAGCATGGGAAGTGGCAGTACCTAGTAGTGATGGTAGTAGTAGGAGGAGGAGTTTGATTGTGTAGAAGTCAAAAAATATTGAAAATAGAAGCAATAATCATTTCCGCTTTTCAAATAAGAAATTTGAGGTCCAGCATAATTAGAAATATTTCTCCTAGACTCGTGACTAGTGAGTTATAGAGCTGTTTTTACCTCAGATGTTGGCATTTTGACTGAGACTGTAGCCAAATGTATAATTTGGAAAGTTAGTTTCACAAATTGTTCCATGAGGGAAAAATATTTGATCAAACGATTTTGAAAAAAAGCTGTGAGTACTGTAATTTTTTACTGGAGAACTGTTGCAGAATAGAGACCAATCATTCATCTGTTATTTTTGTTTCCATCTTTCCCCAAGCTTATTGAGGACAGATCTATCTTTTTCAAGTAAGTCTCTTAACATTCTGGAAAATTGATATTACAAAGGAGAACTATCATTATGACCAAGAGAAGCATGATTCTGGGACCTGAATAATGGTTCATGTTTTGGGCGAGAAGGGGACCAAGAAAAAGCAAATCCCATCTCTGGGCATGGAGAGAATATCATTTTTGTTGTCTGAACATGTTAGGGGAGAATAGAGGTAATTCTAACCAATCTAGCTGCTTTCTGGGAAGTTAAATAGACTCACCCCAGAGCACAGAAAAGTGCCCAAGTCATTCAATTCACTGAAATAGTGAAGAGAGATTTTTATTTAAAACGGAGTGAGTCACTATAGATTTTTTTTTTTATAGAGAAACATGCTATTTATGCCATCAATGTATAGAGGT